TATTTCAGGTGACCGGTATCTGAGGCCGTGGATTATTCCAGTGCCTGAAATCACTTTTACGACAAGAAGGGATGAGGATGAATGTTTGATTTTGGCGAGCGATGGGCTCTGGGATGTCATGACTAATGATGAGGTTGGAGAGGTGGCTCGGCGCCTACTAAGGAGGCGCCGCCGCCTCATGATGGTCGATGAAATCTCTCCAGCACAAGCTGTAGCTGATTATCTTACTGAGATAGCCAAAGGGAGGAACAGTTCTGATAATATATCAATTATTGTTGTTGATTTGAAAGCAAAGAGAAAGCGCCAGCAAAGGCCACATGAGGGTTGAAGATACGATCTTTCTCCCTTATTACTTTCATCCCATTACTTTCCAGTTCTAATATCCAGAGATAAGGAGACCAGGAATGATCTAAGTGATATTTTGCATTTCGCAATGACTAATGGAACGACTTTAGCTTGGATAGCTATCATCCCAACCTGTACAGAGCTGACTGGCAAAAAGTTATCACTTCCTGGAACCAGAATCGGTTGTCGCCATGTAACACTAGGTCAATCCTCAATTTTAGTTGGTTTGGTCAAAAGGAAAAAGATGAGGAAGCAAGCATTGTTCTATAGGAAGCAAGCACTGTTCTATGTAACGTCTTCAACGATTATCCTACAAATGAAAGCCAAATTGTTTTTCTTTGCATATCTTCATTTGGATTACTATCTATTCACAATCTTTGCCTGGTTCTTGGAGAACTGTGTGTTTGGATGAGAGCAACCTAGGGTCCCAAGCCATTATGTGCTCATCAGCATTTGAAAAACCCTAGAGTTATGAAATGTGTCTTCCTTTGTCTCACGTGCTTGAGGAACAAATTATATGATGTTCTGGCTTGTAAAATTCGTGTTAGATTTATCAAAGCTTCGAGTTAGTAAAATTATCACTGTGCTCTGAATATGCGTCATGTGTGGATTGTCGAATCTGGTTTATCCTGCCAATTGTGACGAACAGAAGAAGAGGTCTAAGGATGTACAGCTACAATCTTTTCTTTGGATAATAGCTAGTTAGGCAGAACTACTATTCCGTACACTAGATTTAGTTGGAGGATGAAATCACTTTACTGTGTGGAAGGAAAATACAGCAACTGTTTTGACAGGTATCGAGTATAGAAGGAAAAGGCAAAAACTGTTTTCACACATTGGGATCATTGAGAAACGACACGACGAATTTTTGTCTCTCCAATTTGTTGAAACTTTCTGCATGCCCTTCGTTGTCACACCACTATGCGGCATATCGAAGTAGTTATGGTAGCGACAATATCTAACCTTACTTGTGAATTATGTTGCATTTCCCATCATGCATTATAGGATTATGGAAACAAAACTAGAAACAACATTACTACCAGTGTTATGATTAGAAATGCAATCTATACGCCATCATTATCTTCCTAGAAATGATTGTGTTTTTTCCACATTTTTAAAAACGACTTCGTTTGACATCGGAATTACTCCAAAACCTGGATGAGTTGAACTTGACAGATAGAGTTTGAGAATCCTCTCACATTTACTTTCCGATCTAGAGAAAAATTTGCAGATATGGTGCAGGATCTGGCATTTACACATGCGAATCCAAATCCTTGAGGCGCAGTGCTCGAATGCAACAGCTTCAAAAGTTCGATGTGTACACAGCCAATCAGCGGCAGTCTATATCCGCGCGTGTTTATCACTGCCAATGAGTAAGTGACGCGAACGTCCATTCTGGGTAATAAAAATTTCAATGCCAAAGCATCCTAGCATTTCTCTCGCACATAAATTTCCGAATCTGAGATTTCAAGGATCATTAAATGCGTGCTCATAGACTTGCTTACACCATTAGCCCAAGTTTTCAACTATAAATACGGCCTTTGGCTTGTCACTAGAACTCAAATCTACAAACTCTGCATTTGAACTATTCTCTGCTCTATCTGTTTTATCAAGAAATGGCGAACGGGGATTTGCGCCAACAGCTTGCCACCATGAGGCAATTGCTGCTGGATGAGGTACTCCCTGAACATCAATTCTCTATAAAGTGATGGTTTACTAGCCCTTCTCATTTGTTTTTTCCAGACAACAATTTGATTACTTGGTGCCCCTGTAAGACTTTTCATTCTCATTCAAGATGTGCCAACTCTCTCTCTCTCTCTCTCTCTCTCTCTCTCTCTCTCCATATGCAAACTTATGACTGGATTTTCTTCACTACATTTACCATCCCATAGCAGGGACTCATGAAAAGCATCACTGCAGCGATGCCCTTTCCTTCAGTCTCATGGTTGCAATAGGACAAACCTTTTCCAAGTTGTTAATACTACTCGATGAATGCTGCACTTTTGCATCAGGAACTCCTGGACGAACAGTTTATTCAGCTGGAGGAACTTGAGGCCGAGGGCAACCCCAACTTTGTGGAAGAAGTTTTTAGCTTGTATTTCCGAGACTCTACTAAGACCCTGGAATCTGTCGGGCAAATGCTGTATGTGCTTCGCTCTTTAATCACCTCTCATTCATTTTTCCCCACGTGAACTTCTCCTTAATATTAACTCGAAATTCTAATGTATCCCGTGTGATCCATTCACTTAGGAAGAAGACACCTGTTGAATTTGACAAGGTGGACAGGGCTCTTCACATGCTGAAGGGTAACAGCGCCAGGTAATCTGATTAGTTTCTTTTCCCTAGAACTGTTCTAAAGAGATTCTGTGAAATATAGGAATTGCTCGATCGGACATTCCACAGCTATCACAGAATTTGTTGTGTTTAGGATGAGGATGAATGTCATATCCGTTCTTGTGTATCGCAGTGTCGGTGCTAACAAAGTCGTGAATGAAGTGAATCGAATGAGGGGTCTTATTGAAGAGAACAGTTTCGAGAGGTGATGAAAAATATTTAATGTTACCTTTTAAATTTCTTGAAATTTAATTGGCAAAAGATGGAAATTGTACTGCTCTAGTTGATGTTATATCTTCTTCTTTTTCCCCATTTTATCTGAGCAGTTGCAACGCCACTTATGAGCAGCTGAAGAAGGAGCACGACGAGCTGAAGGGAAAGATGGAAGCTTATCTCCAGGTCTCTCTCTCTCTCCCTCTCTCTCATTCAGAAACGCATGCATACCGAACCGCTCTTTTCCCGGTTTTTAACTTCGCACACACTGACGGGTCGATATCCATGATGTTTCAGCTGCTGAAGCAAGTGGAAGCTGCCGAGAAGCCTCGACAGGGCGACGATCAGGGCTCGGCGAGCGACACCGAGAGCTCCTGAAGGCAAATGGTGTCCAGTGGCAGATCAGAAGAACTAAGGGGAATAAAAGAGGTCCGGTCGCGGGGCTTCCATGAGTGAAAGTTGGTGTCTGTTGTTTCTGTTAATGTTGTCAACTGGGCCCGTCTTTTTGGCAGGACAGTCTCGTTTTCCCTTTGCGTCCTCGTGCGTAGGAGACCCTCTTGAGGGTTTCTTCTTGTTGTGAGTCTTTTGCTATGCAACGAGGAGCTTCCTCTGACGTTTTAGGATGTCCCCATCCTGTTGTCTCCTTCGGTCTTTGTCTGGTCTGCCATCAAATCTACAAATCATTGCTTGGTTTCTAATCATCATTTTAGGGTTGATCGACATGAACTTGAAATCGAGATGATAACTCCGTCGCGACAGTTGAATTTCTCGCTTAAATGAAGGAAGTATTTTTTTTTTGGTAAGTGTCGAAGGAAGTATTTTAGTATGTAAATATTAAAAAAAATAATTGGACGTTATAAAGTTAATGTTTATATATAAAAGTTTTTCTTTATATATCTCGCGTGTTTCACGTTAAATGAAAATGTGGAGAGTCAAATTAAAGACGCACATAACTACTGTAAATAAAATATGTGCGAATGTAGCATGTTGTTCTCTGGTCTTGAATACGAATCATTTTTTTTTTTGGAATTTTTTTTTGTTAAATGGATCGCTTGATCTACAGAATCGATTTACTGTGCAAGTTACGAGACTCCAAACAATTCAATCTACGAGTAATTTGAATCGAGTTTATCAGGCTCATATGGCTTCGATCCAAATCACTAACACTATCCCCAGGTTTTTACTCTATGTCCGTAAGCTAGAGTTTAAATTTCTTCTCAAATGGTTTGGCTGGTCTTGAATGTAAACCCAACCGGCAAATCAGTTACCAACACGAGTTTAACCACATGTCCGAACCCGACCCATATGAATTGTTGTTGTCCATCACAGCCGTCGATGACGATCAATATTGGGTTCACACGATCTAACGCTCAGGATACCCTGAAGTCTTAACTCAATATTTTTTGGGTTAATACCATGAAAAATACCAAATTGATACACATGTATAAATTTACTCCAAACTAATTTTTCGAACACCAAAAACCCCAAACTGGTACATCTGTCAACTGCCATGCATCATCTAACTCAGCAATTTGACTGTAAAATTTAACAGAAATTATTTGATGGTAAAATTTAACAGAAACTAACTAAAAAGTGGATTTTTTTTGCTTCATATCTTCTACATCCTTCTATATGGATTTTGTACCTTAAAGCTCATGAGAATCTATGCACCTTCTGCACTTGATATACTAAATGATGTAAGCCCGTGTTGACGTTGGATATGATTCACTCGTCTAAAAATCTAAAAACATTTTGTCCCATCAATCTCAATTTTATGGAGCAGCCTATACCTAACCATACTCTATTTTCAATAGTCATACATTGGACGCACGCCTCATAATGGGAGAAAAATAAAACATATTATCTTCGATTACAAATTAACGAAGGTTACAGAAAAATACCAAGTCGCTTGTTCTATCCCAAATTTTGCAAATTGGGATCGAAACAACATTTAATTATCCGTCAAGTACAATATGTTGAATCATGTAATCAATATGGTTTCTTCTTTTGCATAATTCAATCACAGTCACCTCATTTTTTTTGGCGGCAGATGCCAGACATTTGATTGATTAATGTGATTTAGTGCAATTTACGAAGGCAGCGTCACCTTGTTGATAAAATAAAGGAAACACGTTTAGATTTGAAAAACTTCACAATAGCGCCTTTGTCTCTTGGGGAGGTATCCTGAGAGAACAAGAATGAGATGCTCGAGCACATTACACAAACAGCAAACACCTAAAAGCAGATAATGTGATGTCTGAAAGTACATTCTGACCAGTTGATCTCACAACCGCATGCCACAAGCGGTCATTGTTTGAGATCCCCGACATAAAAGTCTTCAATCATGTCGAAAACTCGGGTCGCATGCTGTGGCCTGTAAGATCATAAGGTTTCAGAAATTTAAACAGTTGCGGATATCTAAACAGGAGGAGAAGAAGAGGAAGTAAATGAATCTCGACCATCAGGATCTCAACAGCAATATCAACTAACCACCATACATTGGGTAAACACGGGTATAATTCCTGGGCCATATTTGCCCTTTTGCTTTATTGGAGAGAAAAGGCTATTATGATTTTCCAGGACTTGAATTCAATTTTGAACTCCTTTCCTTAGAATAAAAACAAAGCTGCGAATTATTAATCTAGTAGTATAACACTATATCCCATCCGTATATTCAGAAATCATGAATTGATTGAATGTGTCAAAGCATATTATCTCTACATAGGACTACTACGGTTTTGCATCTGATTTATGTAGTTATAACTGAGTTCATCGTGGATACTACAACCCTTAGCACTGCTTTGTTAGGTTGATATCAACCAATGATTGAAATAATCGGTTGTCAGAAAGTCATCCAATTAGATCGACATACTACTAGTAATAGGAGATTTGATTAGGATTAAGGAGAAGGTCTGACATCTTTCCCCCACCAATTAGCAGTAAGAACAATGCATGCCATTCCAGAGCATAGATGCGTACCCAAAAAATCCTTCCGTTGAATTACCCCCTGCATTAGTCAAGATGGCATCACCACCTGGGTGTTCCTCCACGTAAGAGGTAACATCATACACCTACAAAGAGAAGACATTAGAAAGGCGGGACAAAGAAAAGACCTTGTAATGATGTCCAGAGCCCAACAAAAGCAATGTAAATTGGTACGAATTTCATGAACATAGTGGCTGTTGCCAGATTCAGTTAAGCAAAAAGTCAACAGAAAGAAGAAAAACGAACTCAGACCTTGTCTTTAATGATTATCCAACAATCAGTTCGTTTGTTGTGCAAAGCAACATCAGCCTTGGTGTAAGTTTTGGACCCCTAGCGTCAAAAGAAAAAATATCCATTATTAACAAGGCAACACCAAAATATACTTAAGTATAAACAGAACAACAAGAAGTAGAGGAATAAAACCAGTACACTAAGAAGAAGAAGTAAAAAATCTACAGATTAACATCTAGACCGCACTAAATCAAAGGTTTATACCGAGTAACAGGTGTATAATGCAAGACAACTGCTACACAATTTTACTTGGAGACAGCTTGAAGCTAAAATTACTCACTGTGCAACCGGAATGAACAGGAAACACACCATAGTTCCGTAGACACAACTCCTACCAGGACCAATCCATTTCAACTTAATAAGGAGAAATATCAATGAACTTTCCCGGTCTTTCGCCTTTCGTGCCAAATGTGTTGGAGAAATCCGGACCACATACTACCTCAGCCTCAAACTGAATTCTTTGGAGCAATAGACAAAGTATGACAATTTTCATACGAACAGATGCTTCGTACACCTTATCAACGTGTCCTGTTTGGTTTATCAGTAATTAGAGTTATCTTCTCGTGCTCGACACCATGCTTAACCGTAATACAAGGCGCATACCCACTGTATCAGTGTACTGATGCTCGAATATATACCTACATATACATAAGTAATGACTCCACGTATCTGTGCATCTATACATACGGATCAATGCTTCACTAGATGCACATAATGTCAAAAGGGCTAGAGGAGGCATGAGGATATAGCTTGCAATTGACTCCACAAGCAGAAGTGATCTTATTTCAAGTATGGAGCTCCAACTCCAAGCACAACTGCTTGCCCCTTTATCATTGATTTAAATTTCACCGCACAGCCAAACCATAAAACTAACACTACTTACTCCCTAACCAAACTCAACCACAGAATCTTGTAGAACTATCGCCCTCCATCACGTCATTAAAATGGAAGTTTCACTTGCCAAAATGTGAAAAAGAAGAAAGGATCTCCCGAACATATCTAGGAAACGACATTCACCTTTTTTCTTCTCCAATCAAATTTCAGACTTCACGAAACAGGACAGGACACGCACGCACGTGCACTTGCGCGTGCACACCCAGAGATGTATGGATGCCATTTATGGGTGGTTTTTGCATGTGGGTGTACACATAAAAGAAGAATCAGTCAACCAAAAACCAACCTCCCCCTGTACAAGATTGAGCATTGCAATGCATTGCAATCTTTTACCAGAGATACCACGATATAATACTGACTGCATTAGAATTGCTAATTGCATTACATGAACCCATCAGCCTCAGAAATCTGACAGTTACCTGAGTGCTGGAATTGGACTGAACCTTCTCCACATGGCCTGCACAAGGAGAGGCAAAGAAAGGGTAATCAGCGTACATGTTTCCTATGACTTGGATCTTCACTTGTCAATGTTGTATGCAGAAAAAAAGCCTACCGGACTTGCGCTTCCGTGGGAGCAACAGAAGAGCGCCCAAAATCCCCAGCAAAACTACCGCTGCAATGATCACCATCGCTTCGAACTTGACCTATCATCGAAATACGAATCGACATTCACCATCGCCATTGTCATGGACTCGAACGACCGTTTGAGCAGAGCGTCTACTTGTGAATATGCCGAATTCGAAAAAAAGAGGCAAGAAAGCGAGGGAAAAGAGAGCGGCGGTTCTCACGGGTTCTCGAGGAGTTACAGAGTGGAGGAGGAGGCGGCGGATGTCGCCGTGAGCAGCTGCTCCGGTTTCGCGACCGGCGACGGCGGCGGCGGCGGCGGCGGCGGCGGAGATTTGGGTGCAATGCCGACGGCGAGAGACGCTGAGTTAGAGAGAGAGAGAGAGAGAGAGAGAATCTGGCATGTGATTCCACTCTTTCACTGACACTGTCCTCTTCGTATCGACACACGGGTCGGGTCGTCAGGTCAAACCGCAGCTCCGTTTGCTGATCAGTGGGCGGGTACGGACTAGTCGGCACGACATCGACCACTTTCCCACGGAAGATACCACTCTTAATTTAAAAAAAAATGGGTTAATACTTCCGAAAAACACCAAACCGATACGGATAAATTTATCCAAAATTAATTTTTTGATCATAAAAATTCTAAATTGACACATCTGCGAAAATTTTATTAAATTTTACCGTCAAATTTCTGAGTTGGAGTGTATCAATTTGAGGTTTTACTCTTCGTCTGTCATAATTGTACCATTTTGTGATTTTTCGTGATATAAATTCAATTTAATGGAGGGTAAATTTATCACAAATATACTGGTTTGAGGTTTTTGGTAATCGAAAAATTAGTTTAGGGTAAATCTATCATAGGTGTACCAGTTTGGGGTTTTTTATTGTTAAAAAATTAGTTTGGGATAAATTCGTCACAAATATACTAGTTTGAAATTTTTTTGGTGTCGAATATCTAAATTCGTCCCTATCAACGATGCAAGAAAGTAATGGAAATTCGCACAACACAAGAATTTACGTGGTTGATGTTCCGCCTACCTACGTCCACGGGGAGAAGATCCGTTTCACTAATAACACAGAAAAGTGTACAGCCACTCTTTCTCACACCATTGCCTCTATTCTAGAGATCTGTTTCGCCATAAATATATATAGCAAAACCCTACATGGCACAAATTACAAAATTGCCCACATAGCCTAAAATATTTAGCTTTCCCATATAATCATTCTATGACTAAACATAAAACGCCTTTGGCGGCCCGGCGACGCTGCCCCCGCGACCCCTGCCGGGGCAGCCCCCGGACCCCCGTGCTGTCCAGTCATCAGAGGGCCTTTCGGAACTGCCTCATAATCTCTTGGATAACAGAATACAAGACATCAACCTCAACATTGGGATATTAACCCCACAAAATAATGAGGTCCAACACATACACGTAAAATTTTTACGTACAGTGGGCAAATAAAAAGGTTGAATGGGGTCAATTGACCTGGGGCATTAATTTGCAGTCAACATCAGATGAATCGAGATAGAAACACTAGAAATGTCGTGATTTTAGTGTTGTGCTCGTTTCAGTGCTAAAATATTTCGAGTGATTACTTGAATGTCACTTTAAAAACAATCATTTCGTCGATTTGTGTGGCTGAAAAATCCGACGTGGTTACATTTTAATATAAACAATTCCATATAACTCGCCAGCAGAATGAAGTCACCATTACTAAACCTAAACAATGTCGTTTGGCCATCTATTTGCCTCAAATTAACGAATGGAGGCAAAATCAAATATGAATTCTAACTCTAATTCCTCAAATTGGGGCTATTTACCTTCTGAATTTTTTGGGCAATTGACAAATGAAGAGTGGATACAATCGTTTTGCTCTTGAATTCTTCTGTTTTTCTTTAATTTTTTGTTTGTTCTTTCTAGGAAAACGAATTTCAATGTTTTAACCGGGTTTCTTGAAAGATGAATTTCGTTGTGGACCATCTCCGATCCCGAAACCTCAGTGACCATAGAGATAATCCACCGGGCTCCCCAGAGCTCCATCATTGTCAGTTGCAGATTCACAAAATATGCGTCACACTTTGAGAGAGGGAATTTAATATCACTTCTTTTGCCTTTTCAATTTTGTTTTAGTGTTGATGGTCGCAACAGGACTAGATGGTGGATATGAAATTGATGGGAGAAGAAAAAGAAGCAGCTGATTATTAAGATGAACGAAGATGAAGACAAAAATGAAGAAGAACCAGGGGCATGAACAAGGCTTTAACCGAGGGATTTGTCCACATTGGACAAAAAAATTTAATGAAAAAAGACACGTAGGACAAATCGTTGGAATTTATAACCAAAGGCACTTAAGTGATCGTTTGACGGGAGCTCGAAAAATTTCGTTACTGAAGTGAAGGTCATACGAAAGTTATGACATTTTCAATGTCTTTTTCTCGTGAATCCGTCAAATGGATACCTAAAAATTAAAAAGGATCAACAACAAGCAATGTGATTCATAAACAATACAATGTATCCAGTCACAACCCACCCCCTTCTAACCCCCCCCAAAAAAAAATCAGACAGGCTTTTCTAATTCAGAAGATGAAAAAACTTGGAGATCTACAACACTTTGACCCACTGAGCTATCACTGGACTAAACACATAAATTACACAACAAAATGAACGACCTTACAGGATCAGCCGGAAAGCAGAAAGGGCTGAAACTAAAGAATAAATCGGCCATGGTGGGAAACGATTGAAAAGAAAAAATAAATTTGAATGACATTCTTAGATTTGCTAAAATCAAACAATGATAAATTTAATAGGCTGAGCAATTTCGAGAGGATCAAAGATTCCACCGGTGGCGTCACCCGAAGCCCTTAATTCTTACCGCATATGATCCAAAAATTGGAGGAACAAACGCGAATTCCTTTTTTTCCCTTTTTCTTCTTCTGCTAGATATCATACTTCTTGGGCTGACGCCATTGCGCCAAACTTCTTGCGAGCGAGCTGATAAATATGTTTTTAGGCGGTGATCCTTTTCTGCCATACAAGTTCTTTCCTCCCAAATCTGTGAATTTCGGGCCAAGATCCTTACTCCTGTCGATCTGCAATTGCCACAGACGTACTAATGTGTGTGAGCTGCATGAAGAAGCTTGAGTGCCTTCGAAGCCGTCACACTCAAAATGGGGAAACTCAAGATTTTCATGTCGATATACCTTGCTGATCTTTCCATCTTTCAAGTGGTAACGGATGCCAGACCAGTTGATAGATTGAGAGAAATGAGAACGAACCGCACTGATAGTGTACAAGAAGTTATCTACTAGCATCGCTATAAATACCTGTTAAATTCAGTCATATGGAATGGCATTAGCATATATTAGCCATCATTCCCTCCAAATCTACGTACAAAATATGTAAAGACCTTCTCGACAATATTAAGAAACAAATATTCATTTGTCTTTCTAGAGTGCAAGTATGCTTGCACCATATTTATTTTACCCAGCTCTCATGAAATCACCAAAATCCCTCAAACTATTAGATCACACATGGCCATCTCACCAAGTAAGGGAAGACAGTGATACTCACAAGGACCCAGTTATACGAAGCAAGGGAAAGTTGAGGTGCCTCGGGGGATAGCATGTTGCAGAGCTCAACTTCGATTCTCGTCAAGTTCCACATTGAAAGGAGTTCGGTAGCAGTGCACATAACCAAGCAAGCCACCATTAATAAACCTGAATCAAGGCAAGTTGTAAAGCTATAAGAATAACTTCTTTTACTGCCCGAGTAGGAAGCAAGGTACATCCAATCCCAAAAGGAAAATTTTCAAGTTGGTAGGTGGGACATTCTAAGCACTCAAGAAAATATATCATATCAAGCAATTGCAATAAGAAAGTGTTCAAAGAATGTTGCAGACAAAAATCCTAAACTCTCAATTCAGAAATTTCAACTGAACCACCGTAAACGCCAAAAACAAACAGGAAAAAATCAAATTGTTTTTCATGAGTCATCAGTTTTTCACCCTGAGACGGAATCTCCCCCCTCCCTCCTGAGAGAGAGAGATCTGAATGTAGATCTCCAGTCAGCATATCCATTCTGGCCTTATCCAGTACGAAAAAAGATCAGGTCAACCAACATGTCATTTTTCCAACCAGTGAAAAATCACCTCATTTTTGTAGAGAAAAAAAGCAAAGGGGAGGCTCTCTTTTCCATCCCTTTTCCAGCCCACAAAAGATCTAACGTAAATATGTCAAACAACCTTGTGACCTGATCACCAACAAAAAGCGCCCATGGACGCCTTTCTTTTTAACTTAGTTATGTTAAGAGACATTAAACAACACATATACAGGATACAAATAGGTAGTATCTGGGCAAATTCCCCACATGTCGAACACTATACATGACAGGATATTTCTAAATCCTGTCTGATAACCAAGATTGCTTGTTCAATCTAACAGTCTAATTGGCTGACCAGACACAGATTTACATTTCGTTTATTATTACTCAAGTTTCAGAACTTCAACCCATTTGCAATTTTTCAGTCAGTTACCAAAACTAATATCATCCATCAAGTCATTTGTATTGATTGTACCTGAACTAACACCAACAATCTACCTAAATAAGGGAAAAATGTGCTCACCAACATGAGTTAAGTTAGTTTCCTCAAATGAGTAACCTTTGATGTTAGCTCGTAGTGCTGCTGTTACATGAACTGAGGCCATAACATATGGTGCGACAAATCCCCAAGATAGATAGCAGTGAGAAGTAAATAATGCGCGATTCATTATCCAATTGACTTGTGTCGTGTATGATTCCAGAACAAAAGTCTGCTTCCTTAAGTAATTCCAGTACCTAAATAATATCAGAGTCAAGATGTGAGAACGATGCAGACATATTTAAATGGGCAGGCCAAGGAAAAAAAGGGTGGCTGAGGAGAGAGCCATTCAAACCTAGAAAAACTAAGATCACTGGCCAATGGATGAGGAAAAACAGCAACAGGAGGAGATGAAATAAGCCTCTTATGAGCCCCTGGAAAGGATCAAACAAGAAATGCAATCAAAAGCTAACAATATGATCAGATTAGCAAAGAGGGCTGAAGGAAGAAAAGGAAATGGAAATATGACTCATGATAAAAGATTTTACAGGCAAATGAAGCAGAAGACAACCAAAGAGCATCGAAAACATACGAATAAATAACACATCAACTGCTACATGCCACAAGCTGACATTGGAGGATGCTATCGATCATGAAATATCTTACCAAGCAACAGCATTTCAATGGGTAAGAAAAAAAAGATTAAATCTATGCCTACTCCACCACTTGCAAATTTATGCAAAGTACAAGTCGGGAGCAATTTGATATGAAGACAACAATACAAAATGACATCCACAAATTGGAATGAGTTTTATTGTTTAATTT